CCCATGTGTATTTCAGCCATCACCTGTGGCAGCTCCCATCATCCCATTGGAGAAGCTCTAGCTCCAGGAGGATTGAATGGGGCCTCAGCTGATAGAGGGAGGCTGACAGAGGAGAGCAGGGATCTACTTTGAACTGAACGCGATGCGACAGAATGCAGCCTTGTGAATTTGGATTCTTTGCTAAAGTCTATCCTTGTGCTAATTCTTGAAGACAGCACTAGACATGGGGGTCACTGTGAGTAATTGCTACTGGTTCTTCCAGTATTTGTGTCAGATCCTTTATGCATCTATGCCTGAGATTCTACAAAGGACATGTTAGTTCCTTTTGACAAATGAGAAAGTGAGGCTCAGCCAGCAGCCTTTACATTGAGATGTAATCCATACAGAAGGCTGTGCTCTTTGATTTTCATCAGTAAATGTTTTAAGTCCTCTTCACTTTCAGCAAGCAAGGTTGTATCATCTGCATATTGTGAGTTGTTAATGAGTCTTCCTCCAATTCTGATGCCACTTTTTTCTTCATAGAACCCAGCTTCTTGGATGATTTGCTCAGCATACAGGTTGAATAAGTATGGTGAAAGAATACAACCTTGTCGTACACTTTTCTAAATTTTAAACCATTCAGTGTTCCCAGGTTCTGTTCAGTTGCTCTATAGGAGGAAGATGTTGCTGGCAGTCTGCTTCCATAAAAATGTCTGCCTGGGAAACCCTATGGGGCAGTTCTGCTCTGCCCTATCGGGTCGCTATAAATCAGAATCGACTCATCGCAGTAGGTTCGGTAAATAGAAACAGCCAGCCTTCAGCTGTAGGAGAAAGGGACTCAAAAAAGCTCAGACACACCTGGTTCAAATTCCAGTTCTGCCACATATTAGCAATGTGACTTGGGTAAGTCGCTTAACCTTTCTGAGTTTCAATTTCCGTTTCCTGTAAAGTGGGGACAATAATACCTTGCTGCTTGGCTAAGCCCTAAAGGGGCTCACATATGTCAAACACCTTAGCATGGTATTATCATTAAAGAGCCAATAATACGTCAGACTTGACCAGGTGGCTGTGGGTTTGATCTTTGGTTTATAACCAATAGTAAGAACTATATCAAAAAACCAAACCCACGGCCATCTAGTCAGTTCTGACTCAGTGATCCTATAGAGGGTTTCTGAGGCTACAACTCTGCAAGAACAGACAACCTCATTTTTCTCCCAGCACCTAACTCACAGCTCCACTGGGGCCCCTTATAATAAGTAGTGGTTGGTGGTGGCTGTGTGCCGTGGAGTTGGTTCTGACTCATAGCGACCCTATACAGGGTTTCCAAGGCTGTAAATCTTTACAGGAGCAGAAAGCCTCAGAAAGCTTTATATCTCTCCTGCAGAACGGCTGGTAGTTTCAAACTGCTGACCTTGCAGTTAGCAGCCCAGCTTGTTCGCCACTAAACTACCAGGGCTCCTTATAGTAAGTAGTAGTTGCTGTTGTTAAGTGCCTCTGAGTAGGTTCCGACCCATAGTGACCCAGTATAGGGTTTCCGAGGAGCGACTGATGAGCTTGAACCGCTGATCTTGTGTTTCAAAGTAACTTTTTAGTCCAGTGTATTTAACCCATAGTGCCATTCCAGGATGCAGCTATGATTATTTCATAAGGAATTCCTGCGTGGTACACATATATGGTTAAGTACTTGGCCACAAGCCAAAAGGTTGATAATTTAAACCCACTCAGAGGTGATTCAGAAGACAAGCATGGTGATCTGATTCCAAAAGAGCACAGGTTTGAAAATGTTGTGGAGCACACGTGGAGTTACCATGGGTCAGAATCGGCTCCACATGACAGCATCTAACAACCAAAGGACTGTTTCCCTTTAAAATGGGTCCTGCCTGCAGACAATGGTGGTGGTGGTGGTAATGTGCCGTGAAGTCCGTTCTGACTCATAGCGACCTTGCATAGGGTTTCCAAGGCTGTAAATCTTTACGGGAGCAGAAAGCTTCATCTTTCTCCCATGGAACAGCTGGCAGTTTTGAACTGTTGACCTTGAGATTCGCAGCCCTACACATAACCACATGCTAGCAAGAGTTAAGGCTCCTGTATTCTAGTCTGAGTTTTGCCCAAGTTCTAGAGCAAGCCACCTCTATGAAGTCCCGTGCTTTTATATGTGAGAATGAGGAGATTCCCATTGTGTTACAGTTAGTAAAAGCGGCTGTAACAGAAACACCAAAGGTCAGGGTTTTAATGAATTTACATTTATTTTCTCACAGTTCAGGAGGCTGCAAGTCCGTGGTTAGGGTGTGGCTTTAGGAAAAGGACCCTCTTGGTATCTATCAGCTTTCATAGCTGGGCATTCCTTGGTGATCTGGATCCACACCCCCCCTGGTTTGTGCTGGCTTTTGTATCGAATCTGCTCTTTTTATAACTCAGAAGTAATTAGGTTTAGGACCCATTGATACATTGATAGGATTCATTAACATAAAAAGAACATATTCCCAAACAGCATTACATCCACAGGTATTAGGGTTTAGGATTAGGATTTCAACACATATTTTGGGGAGATAATTTGAGCCGTAACACCACCTCACAGAGTTGTTGAACACTATAATAAAAATGCACGTAAAAGTCATTGACATACAGTAGGGCCTCAAAGAAGCATCTTTTTTTATGCTGTCTATACAAATCCATGCCTACCCTGTATACTTTGGAATCTCTCAGACTGGACCAGTGTGTGGGTCAAGAGCAGATTCAACAAATGGTGATGGTCAGTGAAGCCTAGCATTGGGGGTTTCCGCCTGCAGAATACAGTGGTGAGGGGCCTCAGGACACAGCACTGTACACCAAAAGACTCACAGTTCCAAAAGCCCATTTCCTTTCCCAGTGGAAAGTGCCCAGGTCTTTCTGTAACGACAAATTACCCTTTCTCTCCTAAGAGCTGTAAGCAATGACAGGGACACGAGCAAAATGTGCTCTTCTGAGTCAGGATGTTCTGAGAAGTTTATAATTAGAAAAGTCACTCAGAACAGGGTGGAATCTGGGGAAGGCAAATGGGAAGCAGCCCAGACTTGGCTGGAATTTTAAACAGGTCCACAAGAAGAGAAGGAAGGGATGGGATCATCTGAGCCCAAGGTGGACAAGGTGTGTGGGGTGGGGATGGTGGGGTGGGCAGGAAGGAACTTTGGACTGGGCTGGGGTGAGACCCTTTATTTATTCCCTAAGAGACATGATGCTTGAATGTATTCTGGCTGTGATGGTTAATGTTATGTGTCAACTTGGCTAGGCAATGGATCAATTTGGTTATATGTCAGCTTGCTTTGACAGGCATTGGACTGATGACTATTCCATAATGTCATGTAATGTAATCATCCTCTATTTTGTGACCTGATGTGAACAGCCAATCAACTGAAAGCCAACCTGTTGAGAATCCATCAGTGTAAAGTCAGTTTCTTTGGAGTGTGGCCTGCATCTAACATACATGGGTGTTCGGGCAAATCTCACTCTCTCTCTTTCTCAATCCTGCATCTAACTTGTCATCCTCTGACCTCCAGTTCTTGGGATGTGAGCCAGCAGCCTGCTGTTTTACCTGTGTGGATTTTGGGTTTATCAGCCCCTACAACCACCTGAGTCAGGAGAAGCCTCTAATCTGATGCCAAAACCCATGGATTTAGGACTTACTAGCCTCCACAACTGCATGAACCATTTCCTTAAAATAAATCTGTCTCTCTTTATATATATATATATGCTTCACTGGTTTTGTTTCTCTAGAGAACCTGGCAAAGCCATCACTGTCTAGCCCCAATGTGCAGGTGTCCTCAGGTCTGTAAGAATATCTCTGTGATAGCTGTCCCTTCGAATTCATGGGAACCCAGGCTCTCCCAAGCAGTAGGTGTTCTTCAGCAATCACTGGAACTTCTGGAGGTCCTTAGGCCCAAAGGAGGCGGGCAGCAGCTCTTCAACAGTATTGACGACGTACGTGCCATCGGGCTTGGTCATGTAGACGGCCCAGTCGGTCCCAAACTGGAAGAGATGCAAAGCAGTGTGATTCAGGGGTTAGGAGTCCAACCCTACTTGTTATCAAAAATCCCTCTAGGCACTTCAGTTTTCCCAACTTAAAAATGAGTATGACAGTAATCATACCTGGCTCATGGGCCTCAGGAAGATCTAATGAAAGAATACATGCTAAGCAGTTCTCCCTGTGTTTGGCACATTCTCAGGAACTCACCCACGACTTTATAAGAACAATATCTAATCTGTGGAATCACTTCCTCCTGCAATGCAAAATTAATGTCTGCTTCCTTTGCAGCATCTTGCTTGCTATCACAACTAGGAGAAGACGACTGCTACATTGTGGTTGTTGTATGCTGTTAAGTCCATTTTGATCCTATAGGCCACATATGAATTACCCCATAGGGAGTCCTGGTATGGTGCTGTGGGAAAAACTGGACCGCAAGGTCAACTTGAACCACAGGTTGGCAGTTCAAACTCACCAGCTACTCCTTGACAACCCTATATAGATAGGGTGGCTATAAGTCAGAACCAACTTGGTAGCACTTAACAATGCAGTTCTGGTGTGACACTGTATGATAAGCACTGGGCTGCAAGGTCAGTTCGAACTTCAAGGTCAGCAGTCCAAACCCACCAGCTGCTCCTCGGTAACCCTATACAGGGTCGCTATGAGTTGGAACTGATTCAACAGCACTTAACTACAACTACTACTAGTATAGGGTTTCCTAGGCAGTGATTGTGATAGGAGCAGATTGCCTGGCCTTTTCTTCCGTGGAGAGACTGGTGGGTTCAAGTCACTGACCTTCTGGTTAAAAGCTGAGAGCGTACCATTGTGCCAGCAGATCTCCTCCTACGTTACACACTAGGATTGCACAGGTGTTACTTCATGATCCACTCTTGGAGAGGGGTAGTAGCATTAGTCCCATTTTACTGAGGAGGACATTGACGCGTAGCAGGGTGAAGTCAGAGAAGTAGAACTTTTAGTCCACATCTGTCTTCCTATCTTTCTAGGTATACCGCCAGACGCTTCTACTTGCTGGCCATGGGATCTTGGGCCAGTGATTAAACTCTACCTCATGTCTTGGCCTGAGATATCATTCTAGAGAGGGGAGACTATACCAGGTAAGAATGGCCTCGATCGGGAGGAGGGGGGGACCCTTTTTCTGCCAAGGGTCATTTGGATATTTATAACATCATTTACAGACCATACAGAATTATCAACTTAGAAATTTAGCCTGCTGTATTTGGTCAAACATTTAATTAACTCATCCCTAATGTGATGGCTAAGGAGCTCTCGTAGCATAGTGGTTATGAATCGGGCTGTGAACCTTAAGGTCAAGCAGTTTGAAACTACCAGCTAGCTGTTCCGCGGGATAAAAATGAGGCTTTCTGCTCCCGTAAAGATTTACAGCCTTGGAAACCCTGTACAGGGTCTCTATGAGTCGGAACCGACTCCACGGCACACAACAACAACAACAATGTGATGGCTGGAGCTGCCATCTGGACAACTGTGATGGCCCAGACCAAACAATTTTTCAGGCATTAAATGGCCTGTGAGTTGGCTATTCCCCACCCATTCAATCAGTTCACCCAGTTAAATCAGCTGTGGCATAATGGGAAGAATCCTGGAGTTACAATCAACAGACCCAGGCTCAGCCTGGCCAGGTGTGAGCATTAGAAACACAAGGCATAAAGTACCTGTGTGCACTGCCTGGCTCATGAATTCAAGGAAGCCCTTTTTACTGGTTATGCTGATTGCTAGGGGCTGCTCAGACTGGCAGCCTGCAGTTCTTTCAAGTTTCTGTCTGTATCCCCCAGTTATTATCAGATATAATTCATCTTCTGGCTTTTAAAAAATTAATGTTTCAAAGAAGGAGATTTTTTTCCTACTTGGCAGGCTCTGCCGGACAGTTTGGATGGAAATTGAGCAGAGCCAAGTTTAAGTGCCGGGTCCTGGACCCCTTCACCTCAACTCTTATGATTTGCATTTTGGTTTCAGTATTTTTTTTCCTTCAGTCTTTTTCATTTGCCTTCTCTCGTTTGCCAATATTCAATCTATTTGGAGAGAACAGCAGTGAGCATTTGGACCAAGTCACTCATGACCTGGAAAGCCAGGGACTTGGTGTCCTGATGTGGCTTCCTCATATGACTGTAGGTCTGTATGTCACTGTGCTGGGCAGTACAACAACAACAACAACAACAACAACAACAAGGTGAGACAAATCCCATGCTGTGAATCCAGTGTCATAAAATGGTAGCCTGTTTCTTGTGGAGCTGGGAAATGAGTTCTGTGAACTGCACCTGGTTTTGCAGTTCTGACAGGAAGCTGGGGAAGATAGAGATGTTAGGATGTTTGACAGGTGCTTGGACGTCCCAAGGCATATACACAAATCTTAAACAACCCCCCCCCCCAAAAAAAAAAACAGAAATGCCCATGGACCAAGCAACTCCCATACACTCAGTACCATTAAGCTTTCTCCATGGCACAAAAGAAGTTTGCCTGATTTATAGAACCAGTAAAGGGCTAAGAGCTAGGTGGGGGAGAGTGGTCTCCAGAGTCAGCCTGAACTGGGTGTGCATGCCATTTTGTCACTCGATGTGCATGTTATTTCGTATCTCTGAGCCTCAGGGTACCAGGGATGAGGATAATAACACACACACATGCAGTTCCCTGATTGGGTTGGGGTAAGATGAAATGAGATGCTGTGTAAGGAGGGGAGTCCCTGGGGGTGCAAAAAGTTAATGCACTCAGCTGCTAACCAAAAGGTTGGAAGTTCATGTTTGGTCACAGGTACCTCTGAAACACCAGCCATTGAAAACCCAGTGGAACACAGCTCTACTCTGCCAGGACTTTGAAGTGTTTCAACCAGTTCAGTCATGGCTAAGGAAGTAAGGCACCAGAACAGACTGGAATTGTAAAAATCGGAGTGAAATGGAGTGATAAGCAAAAGGAAAAAAAAAAAAATGACAGGTTGCAGTTATGCTAGAAACTTAATTTCCCTCTTAAGGCTGTGTGTGTGTTGCACAGCAACCAAATCTCTTGTTCACAGAATAGAAAACAACTGTGTCCGGCTCAATGACTCAGCGTGGAACATGTGTTGCTCTTCATAGTCCCGGTAAAATCTAGTCTCCTACATTGGGCTCCTGATAGAGTTGCACCTCCTCTAAGTCTCATTCTAGAGCTTCGACTCATAATTTTTTCCCATTCTGGTTATCATACCTGCTCACCCAAATTAAAAAGTTTGGTCTCTTCTGGTTTTGTTTCATTGCCCAAGACAGAAGCAGCTCGGACACACATGGGCTTGCTGTGAGTTGGAGTGAACTCAGATGCAACTGGTTTGATTTACAAAGCTGATGATGCCATATCAGAACCTAAGGGCATGTGGAGTCCTCTGAGTTCACTGCTTTCATCTTTTTCATCTCTGGAAGATGTAGACCTCTTTGAGAACCTAGGAAAACCACTGACATCCCTGTCCGCTAAAAAATGTACATGCACACACATAAAAATTTATGCCGAAAACAATTTCTGATTGTTTTACAAGGGTTAATTGCTACAATTTGATGAACTTGACTTATACTCATAGAGGCAGTAATTCTAAATATCAGCAGAGAGGGAAGGAGTCTTCACATTAAATATCAATGCTATTCCCTCTGTACACAGGGTAGATAGGGACGGGTAACTTAGACATTGGCTACCTAAAATGAGAGGGCAATAAAGGCACAAAGTGACTGACTTACAAGGATTCAAGAGGAAGTTTAGTTTAAGAGTGTGTGAGGGAAGATAGAGTCCCCATGGAATAGGTTTCATCTTTTCTAAATGGGTCTGGTAAAAAGAGATGGGGATAAGATTCTTACGATTCAATAGTGAGTAATTGTTATCATGACTAATGGCAACTGTCACAATTGTAAAGGTAGAAATTTTGTAACAAAAATAAGGAAGTGGTTAATCTTACAGTCCAGAAACAGAGGACCCTAGGACCATCAAGGGAGAAGAGCACAAGCAGAATGCAGGACCTTATCCAGAGAAGCAGCGACACCAGAGATGGAGGCAGAGGTGGGGACATGGAGAGAGGGAGCAGCTGAGGACTCTAGACCCATGGAAAGAGAGGGACTGAGAGCTGGCAGCCAGGAGGCAGACTTGGAGAATGTGCCCTTTGGTGGTGTAAATTATTATATATGTGAGAGGGTTTAAAAAAAAGAGTTAAAATGAATAGAGAGAAATACTGTTAACTGATGGCACATGAAGGGAGTTGTAATCATTGTAATGAAACAAGGTGTATGATTTGTTGAATGTAAAACTGATGATCTGCCCTGTAAACTTTGACTCAATTCACAATTAAAAAAAAAAAATAATTATGCCGACCCCAGATTACAGCCTAGTACACTATGGGAGCAGTTCTACTCTTATAGAGGGTCATCATGAGTCAGAATAGACGTCCAGGCACACTATAAACAAACTGTGAGCCATCTGGCCTTTGATGCCACTGGTCAATTCTGCCACTGAAGGACTAGAGCAGGGAGCCCTGGTTAAAACACTTGGCTGCTAACCTAAAGGTCAGCTGCCCTGTAGAAGAAAAATGTGGCAGCCTGCTTCTGTGAAAATATATAGTCTTGGAAATATAGTCTGTGAGTTCTAGTCTGATCTATGGGGTCATTATGAATCAAAATCAACTCTCTGGCAATCTTTTGACAGAGCCAGAGCAGTCATTGTTGTTGTTGTTGTTGTTAAGTGCCATTGAGTCGGTTCTGACCCATAGCGACCCTGGATAGGGTTTCTGAGGAGCAGCTGGTGAACTTGAACCATCAACCTTGCAGTTCAAATGGCTTTGCAGTCTGGCGCATTAACCCACAGCGCCACACCAGGACTAAAGAGTGGGTGTGGCAGTGTTCCAATAAGCCTTTGTTTACAAAAACAGGCAACAAGTTGAATTTGGCTCACATGCCATTGTTTGTTGACTCCAGTCCTTGGATAGTACAATCCATTGATGTGCTCAGCTGTGAATTGAAAGGTTAGAGGTTGGGGTCTACCTGGAGGCGCCCTGGAAGATAAGCATGACAGTTTACTACAAAACAAATCAGCACTGACACCCTAGGGAGCACAGTTCTACTCTGACATATGGGGGTTTCTAAGAGTTGGAGTCAATCTGATGACAAGGTGGTTCAACTGGATCTAAAGTGTCATCTGCTGCTCCTTTTGTCCCTCCCTTCTCTCCAACCCTCTCAGAAACTTCACTGTTTATTTATTGTTCTCCTTGCTTAGTATCTGTCTCCTGCATTAGACTATATAAGCTCTGGGAGGGAAGGGCCTTAATGAGCTTTTTCACCGCTTTATCCCCAGTGGCATAGTAGGTTACTTGTAGGCTGCTAACCACAAGGTCGACTGTTTGACTCTACAAGCCACTCTTGGGAAGAAAGAGATGATAGTCCGTTCCCTAAAGATTTATGGCCTCAGAAACCCTACTTTGGGTCACTATGACTTGGAATTGACTTGAAGGAAGTGGATTTGGTGGTTTATCTCGAAGTCAGCTTAGTGTCTGGCATAGAGAAGACATGCATCCTGTAATTATTCATTGAGTGAAAAACTCATTCATTGTCAGTGATCCGTGCAAACTGAGGAAGAAGGTCTCAGAGGCCTGCTGACCAAGCAAGCAGGTCAGCAGCTGTGTCTTCTCCCTGATGTCCTGGCATTGCTGGGAAAAGAGGGAAACGTCCAGCTCATCTTCCAGAAAAAGAGAAGCCGCTTACCTCTCTCATGACTTGTCTGCAGGCCCCACACGGTGAGATAAAATCGTCCTGCAAGTCACTGGGGAGGCAGAGAAGCAAAGTCAGGTTAGTTACTCCTGAGGCATGAGGACAATTGCTATGGCTCAGACCCTGAGTCCCGGCCCTGCTCCCCATCAGTCCTACCATGTCCTAATGGCTGAGTGCCTTTCCACACTTCCAGGAGGCAAGGCCGTTTGCAGGGATGCTGTGCATTCAAGAAAACCTTTAGTGAACACTTACCTACCATCACATCCAGAGATATCCAGTTAAGGAGATTTTGTATCTGGCCCTCAAAAGATCGAGTAGCCATATGCACAACATTGAAAACTAGAAGAGTTATCATAGTGAAGTATTTATCCAAGGGTAAGTAAAAAAGTATTGTTACTGGGGTTCTAGTTCATACATGCTCAGGTTCATTCCAAACAAATCATGTTTAAGCCTGTCTCTGCAGTGGATGGCTGCAGACAAGTTCTCTCAGTAATGCACTAGTGTTAGTCTCATTAGAGTACCTTCAAAAAAATTGAAAAAAGCTTCTTAGGGGATATACTGGGCCAGTTAAATTCAAGGCAGAGATATCAGCCCAGCAGGTTATGTTGTTGTTGGGATGTGCCGTGGAGTCGGTTCCAACTCATAGTGACCCTGCTCCTGCAGAACAGCTGGTAGCGTCGAACTGCTGACCCTGAGGTTAGCAACCCGATTCGTAACCACTACGCTACCAGAGCCCAGCAGGTTATAGCTGTTTTTAGGGACTCAAAGAGATCATCTTGATAGATTTTTCTCAAGGGACACAAGATAATCACGGGGGCTTATTAGGAAGAACTTTTAAGAAAATGGTGAGAAAATGCAGTTTCCTGGGAAAGTTGCATCCAGGAATTTTTTTTCCATCACAATGCAACTAGTCATTCTTTGAGAGTAGGAAACCTTGTCCCACCCAACTAACCTACAGCCCTATCTTGCCCTTCAGACTTTTCACTCCCCAGACTCAGAAAACATTTCAAAGAAACATGATTTGAGTGCCTTGAGGGTGCCCAAACTTCCACTGTGACATAGTATAAATTATATGCAAAATTCTCCAAGGATGGTTTAAAGAAACGAAACCACTACCTTCAGAAGTGTAAGACTTGTTAGGTGCCATAGAGTCGTTTCAAACTCATAGTGACCCTACGCACAACAGAACGAAACACTGTCTAGACCTGAGTCATCCTCACAATTGATGCTATGTTGGAGCCCAATGTTGCTGCCACTGGGCCAATCCATCTCATTGAGGAGATTCCCCTTTATCCCTGATTCTCCTCCACTTGTCCGAACATGATGACCTTCTTCAGGAACTGGTCCATTCTGATATTGTGTCCAAAGTGTGAGAGACAAAGTCTCACTATCCTGGCTTCTAAGGACATTCTGGCTGTACTTCTTCCAAGACAGATCTGTTTGCTCTTCTGGTAGTCCATGGTGCTTTGAATATTTTTCACCAACACCCTAATTCAAATGCATCGAATAGACTTAGATGGAGGATATGTCAAGAAACAATAGCTTTACATTTTGATATTTTTGTTTAATAGAGGTTTCTATGATTTGGAGGCAAAACATTATTAAAACAAATCCATAAGAGCTAAATTATGATCTTGAGTATATCCCTCCTGAATTTAGAGACTCTCAAGAACAGATTTGATATGTTAAATACTATGACCAAAGACCAGAGGAGTTGTGGGATGATATCAAGAATATCATACATGAAGAAATCAAAAGGTCATTAAAAAGATAAGATAGAAAGAAAAGACCAAAATGGATGTTAAAAGAGACCCTGAAACTTGCTCTTGAATGTAGAGTAGCTAAAGCAAATGGAAGATATGAAGTAAAAGCCAGTTCAAGAAGACCCTGTATAGGGTTTCTGAGGCTTTTAAATCTTCACGGGAGCAGAAAGCCGTATCTTCTGTGGAGCAGCTGGTGGGCTCGAAACATGGACCTTGTGGGCCACAGTCCGGTGCTTACTCATCTTTGTTTCACAGATGAAAAACTAGACTAAAAGCAGCAACACAACATACCTGAGGTCACATGGTAAGTTAACAGTAGAGCAGAATTTGAAACTAGGTCTCACTAATCCTGAAGCCTGCACTTCTAACCATTCCTCAATATTCCTGGAAGCATCCCAGAAATTGCATCAGGACATTCCCTCCATGCTTCTCCTGTTCTCCGGCTCCCCTGCCCTTCACCTGCTTGTGCCCTTGGTGGGTATTTATAGTTTGCTGTGGTTTTACTGACCTTGGTCACATATTGAAGCCATGCTTATCAGATTGGACAGGCTGGAAATGAGTTGTCTTTGATGGCCACAGCCGGTACCCCAGTTTATCTCTGTGTTAGTGAAATCCCATCCTGGCTTCTGCAGATCCATGGGCTTCCCTGAGTGGACGTCTCCATCCTTATGCTTTGCTGACGGGCTCTTAGCCTGTTCACATTGTTCCTTGCTAAACAAGGGAGTTGACATTTCCCACCCCTCCTGTAAATCCACACTCTCAATTTAACAATCGTAATACAGTCATGACTCCTTTTCTGGCTTGGAGAGACCATCGTAGGCTGAATACCCAGAGTAGAGCTGTTGGAAGCTAGAAAAACACAGCTCATCATTGCTAGCAACACCCAGTCCTGTTTAAAGGCAGATTATGGCCAACGGAAAAAGTTCATCATTTGGAAAAATCTGAGCAGAGCAAGGCTACCACGCCTTTATCCTTTTGTTGACTTTGGCCTCATTTCCCCCAGAATGTCATTATTTCCTTGGATCTGCTTTGAAATGGAGCCATTTCCCCCCTTTTTATATAAAGCGCAATTCACATTCTGGTCTCTGCTCAGGCGCACACAATGTTCCCAGCTCGGCCTCATTTACTCTTCCTGAAGTGGAAGGGAAGCCAGGACAGACCTGGGTTCCAGGGAGGGCACTCGACGCCAGGGTCCTTTCCCATAAGTGCACTCTTGGCTCATTTTACTCTGAAAGAAAATAACCTGGATCAACTCAGGGCCAAACCAAGGCCAAGCTTAGCATCTTATTAAAAAAAAAAAAAAGAAAAAAAAGAAGTGGGCTTGTTTCTGTTCACGCCGCCATCTGCCTTGCCCTACAACAGCCCCTGAATTTCTTTTGCTTCACAGCAGGAAGAGAATTCACGAATGGCACAGGATCCACATGCCAGCTCCATCAACACTCAAGATCAACCACTGACCTTATTAGGGATATCAATTACATTAGTTACATTGTGCCACCCTCATCCATAATTGTCAAATTTTTATGTAGTCTCATGTCATGTTTTGCATCATGAACTTGCTACAAACATCCTTTTCATAGACAATGTGAATGTGTACACGAGAGTAAATGATCATGAACTCAGTCATGCAATGGGTCCAAATTAGCAATAGTTCATTCTCAAGCTTGGCTGCGGAAGTCAATGAGTGTGGGTCTAGGGCCAATAAGCACTCCATGTGCTACCTTTGATGGTAAACAAACACATAGAAAGAATATTAAAAAATACTATGGGGTGTCAGAAGAACAAACAAATCTGTGTTGGAAGAAGTATAGCCAGAATGTTCCTTAGAAGCTAGGATGGGGAAACTTGGTCTCATATACTTCGCACATGTTATCAGGAGGGACCAGTCCCTGGAGAAGGACATGCTTAGTAAAGTGGAGGGTCAGTGAAAAAGAGGAAAACCTCCAAAAAGAAGGATTGCCACAGTGGCAACAGCAATGGGCTTAAACGCAAGTTATGAGGATGGCATAGGACTGGGCAGTGCTTGGTTCTGCTGTACATATAGTCACTATGGGTCAGAACTGACTCAGTGGCACCTAACAACAGCCACAAGGGAAGTAGGATGTTTAGGGGGCATGTAGAATGAGCTGATTGGTGCTCTTGTTCAGCTAGCAGCTTGGCTGGAATCTGAGTTGTCTGAACCAGAACTAGTGTTGTCCTGGCTGCCACCTCCCGAAACCTGTCTCTGTCTACTGCCCCTGACACACAGGGGCTTTGGTGAGCATCGTGGATGAAATCACTGGTGCTGAGCTGCTTGGATATGATTCCAACTTCAGCTCAGCACTACCAACTTCTTGAGAACATGGAAAAGCATTTTCTTCCTGGCATAGCATGTTGTTGCTAAGTGCTGTCGAGTCGGTACTGACCCATAGCGACCCTGAACAGGGTTTCCGAGGCTGTAAACCTTATGGGAGTAGAAAGCCTCCTCTTTCTCCCATGGAGCAGCTGGTAGTTTCAAACTGCTGACCTTGTGGTTCTCAGCCCAATTCGTAACCACTACGCTACCAGAGGTGTAGTGGAAAGAGTTCTGAAGCGGAAATTTAGAGACTTGGTGCTTGTCCCGGCTCTACCACTCACTCCTGGGAAAGTTCTCCAATCTCTCTCAGCCCCAGCGTCTTTTATTTGTTTATTTTTAAGGCTTTATATTTTAAAAAACAAAACAAAAAAACTGTTATAAATATATGTCTGTTGGTTATGTACTGTGGGGTTGATTCAGATTCATAGTGACCCTGCATAGGGTTTCCGAGGCTGCAAATCTTTACAGGAGTAGGAAGTCTCATCTTTCTCCCATGGAACAGCTGGTAGTTTCGAACTGCTGACTTTGATGTTAGGAGCCCAATTTGTAACCATTACGCTATACCAGAGCTGTGTGTAAATATATATGTAAAACAAATTTGCCAAGTCAACATTCTTCATGTGTACAATTTGTTGTTGTTGTTAGGTGCCATCAAGTCAGTTCTGACTCATAGTGACCCTGTATAGGGTTTCCAAGGAGCAGCTGGTGAGTTTGAACCACCGACATTATTAGTGATATCAATTACATTAGTTACATTGTGCCACCCTCATCCATAACTGTTGCCAAATTTTCCATCATCATGAACAGTAACCTACTGTGTCCTCATCAGTACTTCCCTCCTCTTCCCTCCCTCCTGCCCCTGGTTACCAGTAATAAACTTTGGTTTTTATATATTTGCCTATTCTGGTGGTGGTGGTTGTGTGCTGTGAAGTTGGTTCCAACTCACAGCAACCCTGTATAGGGTTTCCAAGGCTGTATATCTTTGGAGAAACAGAAAGCCTCATCTTTCTTCAGAGGAGCGCTGGTGGATTCAAACTTCTGACCTAATGGTTAGAATCTCAACTCGTAGCCCACTAAGTCATCAGGGTTCCTGTGCCTGTTCTTGAGATCTCAGATAAGTGAGATCATATATTTGTCCTTTTGTGATTGACTTCTCGTAGCATAACATTTTCAAGATTCACTCACGTCATAGTCTATATTGGGCCTCAGTTTCTGCAGCTGTAAAATGGGGGTGAAGGAGAGGGAGTATATAAATCTACAGCAGGTCCCTACAGCTTTATTTTCAGTGCTGCCTTTTGGTTGTATTTTGTAGAGACTCTGTAATACTTTTGTGTTGTTATCAGTACATGAACACACCTGCCCTGGTACTAAGCCTGGTGGCACAATGGTTTAAGCACACAGTGATTCAAATCTACCAGCCACTTTGTGGGAGAAAGATATGGCAGTCAGCTTCCATAAGATTTTGTTGTTAAGTGCTGTTGAGTCAGTTCTGACTCCTAGTGAGTGACCTTGTATAGGGTTTCCAAGGAGCCTTGTGGTTCAAACCGACCTTGCGAGCCAGTGCTTTATCCTACAGTGCTACACCAGGGCTCCTCCGTAAAGATGACAGCCTTGGAAACTTTATGGGGCAGATCTACTCTGTCCCACGGTGTGTCGCTCTGAGTAAGAAACAACTAGATGGCACACAGCAATACCAAGCCTTTGTATTCGTTATTCGTTTGCCTTAGTTGCTTCTTGCTGTGTAGGCTCACCAAGGGTAGAGTCCATTTCCTATTTACCTTCTTATCCTTAGCACTAAGCCCAAGGGACCTACACAGTGCCTGGCACATAGAAAGTGCCCAAAGCTATGTTAGATGAATGAATGAATGAATGAGAAACTCTTAGCAGCTGAGTAAATGAATCTTGCAGCGACCTGCTTCCCCACTCACCTAGCAATAGCAATTGCCTTGAAGTCCTTGTACCCTTCAGAAATGGCTTTCTGGATGGCAGTCCGTTCGGCACAGATGCCCAGTGGGTAGCAGGCATTTTCGACATTGCACCCTGAGAAGAGAGGAGAGCCCAGTGCTAAGTCCAGTGGAACAATTTCTTACCACTTCTGTTGGGTAAAGTCACTTGCCCCCATTCCAGTGTTTGGGGAGGGCCCCCACTGCTCTGTTCAATTTGGGGGGAAAAGAAGGCAATTTCACTGGGAGCATGGGCACATTCTTCGGCTCATTGATGGTGTGGTCCTGCCTACCAATCTCCCACTCTCATCACTTACCCAACACCTCCATCTTGAAGCACAGTCTGGGGGCAAGATTAACCTAACAAGGCAGATTCATTTAGTCTTACCACTCTAGCAGAGGTCAAGGCCATGACCAATACAGAGGCGTGGAAGGTGAACAGAGTCCCAAGGACAAGAGCCAAGAGACAGATGCTACATTCTGAGCATTCTGGTTCAAAGATTGAACCTTGGAAAAATGGCTGGTTACTAGCTGTTAGGGTTCATCTACGGTTCTATGTGAGTTGTGTTACCAAACCAGTAAACAAACAAGCAAAAACAACTCCCGAGCTTTGTAAAAAAGGGGCCCGTGATTGCACCATCCCCATCCACCAGTGGGAGGTGAATGGCTAAGGTGACATAGCCCTCAGAGTGTCTTCTCCAGTGACCCTCTGAGGGCTGCTCCCAGGAGGCAGAACATCAACCTAGCCAGACTGACTGACAGATTATTCAGGAAGGTAAGGCCATGACACATGGCCATGGGAGCCGGGCTCTCCCTGACCAGTAGAATGTAGAATACCGTCTCGATCACTGTGTAGCTTAGCCTGAAGCAGAGATCGCAATTGTTCCTCAGTATGCATTTCCCCGTTCCTTAAACTCACACAAGTGACCCCTAGCCCAATATGGCTGGTCACATAACCAATCAACTTGAGACTCTACTTTCCAGACTCTCTGGAAACATGTGCCTACATTTTCACCAACTGAATGTGACCCAAAGGAATATGGACAACTCTAGATCCCATTTTTTTTTCATAAGGAGATTGCTTGTTCTTTTCTTCCTTCCTTTTCTTCTTCCACTGACTGGAAGGCAGAGGTGATGGGGTGAGCTAGCTTTGATCCTGTGGCTTTTGGTCTGAAATGGAGAAACAATTTGGAAAGAAATTTGGAACCTTGGTCAACTCATGGAGCAAAGCTGCCTACTTGCCTTAGACCAACTGTTTACTCTGAACTGTGATGAGAGAGAAAAACAAATACTTCTTATGTTTGAGTTATTGTATTTTGGTCTATTTTTTTTTTTTTGTTACAGTAGTTTCGCTGGGAACTAATACAGAAATTGGTACTGAAAGTGAGATGCTACCTTACTGAAAAAAACTTAAAATCTGGACTTTGGCTCTGTGGCTGGGCTGTGTGGCTGAGAAAACACAGGCATTGCAAGATGGATTGCTGGTGAGTCCGGTTTCGCCTGTTGTTGTTAAGTGCCGTTGAGTTAATTCTGACCTATAGCAACCCTGTATAGGGTTTCCAAGGAGCAGCTGGTGAGCTTGAACCATCGACCTGGTGGGTTCAAACTGACTTTGCAGTCCAGCACATTAACCTGCAGCACCCCACCAGGACTCCCCTGTTACACTGCAGCTAGTTAATTGGTAAAGCAGAGTCTCCAATAACCTGAAATGAGACCATTCACCTAACATTGAGATTGTCTCTACCACCCTGTCAGTTTACTACACTGTGATGGCTTGCCTGTTGCTGTGATGTTGGAAACTGTGCCACCAGGATTTCAAATATTAGCAGGGTTGCTCATGGTGGGCAGATTTCAGTGGCACTTCCAGACCAAGGTCAGACCCAAAAAAAATGCCTGGTGGTTTACTTCTGTAAATTAACCAGTGAAAACCCCATGGATCAAAATAGCATACAGTGCTAGAAAATGAGCCCCCTAGGTTGGAAGGTAGTTAAAGTACACAGTAGCTACAAGAATGGACTCAAACATACCAACGCTCATATTGACAGTGCAGTCCTGGGCAACGTGTTGTTCTGTTACACATACAGTCATTGTGAAGGTGAGTCAACCGAGGACAATGAACAATAACAAGATTCCCTGCCTGGCAATGAGGATCAGCCCTGTGGCAAAGATCTAATTAAAGATGCCATATCCCTGCAGCCTGCTATTTGAGGTGCCTTGAAGTAGTCCCTGTGAAACTGTTACAGCGGGGATGGGCCAAACATAGAAGCCAGTTAATATAAAAGGAGAGTTGGCAGGCTCATGAATTATGTCCAGAAGGGACCTTGGATGTGCTGCTCTTGTACAGAAGTGATTGGAAGCAAATAGATTTGGGAGGTGCTTAGGTTTGTTACTTTTTAATGAGCTAAACATCTGTGTAACCGATAGTTTGCCTTTCCAACATTCTCCACATGTACAAATCAGTAACATTACCTGTTGTTGTTGTTGAATCGATTCTGACTCCTAAGAGACCCTGCAGGACAGAGGAGAACTGTTTCCTAGGCTTTCAAAGCCTATCATCTGTATGGGGGCAGACTGCCACAGCTTGCAGGGTGGAGTGGCTCCAGGCACTTAACTGGGGTAGGGGAGCTGGGTTTGCTGACCCACGGAGACACAGCCCAATACCCTCAGGCTGAGGCTTATGGTGGGGTGATATGTCTTGTGGGCATTTATCAGCACCCTTAAAAGGCAGAGAGAGGCCTGGTCTGTGGGCACAGCTGAGGAGAGACTGTCCTGACTGAATACCTGTGCCCTGAGCATAGCAGTCAAGAAATCAAACGACATATTGCATTAGGCAAATCTGATGCACAAGAACTTTTAAAAGTGTTGAAGAGCAAAGATGTTAGCTTGAGGACTAAGGTGCACCTGACCCAAACCATGGTATTTTCAATAATCTCATATGCATGTGAAAGCTGGACAGTGAATAAGGAAGACCGTAGAAGAATTGATGCTTTTGAGTTATAGTGTTGCAGGAGCATGTTGAACGTGCTATGGACTGTCAAAAGAACCAATAGATCTGTGTTGGAAGAAGTACAGCCAGAGTGCTTCTTGGAAGCCAGGATGGCCAAACTTCATCTCTCATACTTCAGACATATTGTCAGGAGGGACCAGTCACTGGAGAAAGATATCATGTTTGGTAAGGTAGAGGGTCAGAGAAAAAGAGGAAGACCCCCCAGCAAAATGGATTGGCAAAGTAGCAGCATCAATGGGCTCCAGTATGGCAACAAATGTGAGGCTGGCCCAGGATCAGGCAGTGTTTCATTCTGTTGTACAGAAGGTCGCTATGAGTTGGTACTGACTCGATAGCACCTAACAACAACAACAACAACAACTTCCTTAATAAACCTGTAACTGTGAGTAGTGTCTCTGAGTTCTGTGTGACCATTGCAATGAATTATGGAACCCAGTTGAGTAAGAGAGGGCTGTAGGAAGGATGGTTTGGTGCCACATTTGTTTGTTTCTTTTTTGGCAGGGGTTACCAAGAGTAGAAGAGGAGGGGAGTCCAAGATAAAGCAGCAATTGTCATGGTTCTTGCTCAGCAGGTCTGATAATGGCCAGGACGGCACTACGGTTTGCTTCCACCTTCCTCCTTTTGCCTAAAGGGAGGTCTTGTTGCTGAGTGTGATTCCAGCTTTACGTTGTATATTGCAGGAGGGAGGTTGAAATGCAGAGAGATTTTGTTTTTCAGTTTACAGACCATTAGACCAGCAGGGGCCCAGTATGGACCTGAAGAAGACGACTGTGCACCCCAAGACTCTGCTCTAGAGGTTTGCATCTGTTAGGAAGATCATAGCAACCTTACAGAACAGAGTAAACCTGCTCCGTAGGGTTTCTGAGACTGTAAATGTTCACAGGAGCAGACAGCCTCAGTTTTCCCCTGTGGAGCAGTTGATGGGTTTGAACTGCTGATCTTGCAGTTAACAGCCCAAAGCTTAACCCGCTGTACCATCTCCTTAGGAAGATGGTAAGTGGGCTTTGTGTGGGAAGAAGGATGTAATTGGATTTAATTTTGTCCCCCCCTCCCCTAAAGAAATATTGGAGTCTTAATTTCTGGAACTTGTAAATGTGACCTGTTTGTTAATAAGGTCTTTGAGGATGATTTGAGGTCATATTAGAGTGGGGTGGGTGCTAATCTAACCTGAGTTGTTGTTAAATGCTGTAGAGTTGGTTCTGACTCATTAACAGCCCTATTTATTTAGGGTTTCCGAGGAGCAGCTGGTGGATTTGAACTGTTGTCCTTCCAGTTAGCAGTTCAGTGTTTATCCTACAATGCCACATCAGGACTTAACTCAATATGAGTTGTTGTTATGTGCTGTGGAGTTGGTTCCGACTCATAGCGACCCTGTACAGGTTTTCCGAGGCTATAAATCTTTATGGGAGCAGAAAGCCTCATCTTTCTCCCGAGGAACAGCTGGTAGTTTCGAACTGCTGACCCTGAGGTTTGCAGCCCGATTCGTAACCATTACGCTACCAGAGCTCCTTAACTCAGTATGAGTGGTGTCCCATAAAAGAGAAGAGACACAGAGTTAGAGACACAAGACCATGGAGTTAGGCTGCAGCTGCAAGTCAAGAAGGAACACCTACCATGACCAGAAGTTGGGAGAGTTAAGAAAGGACCTTCCCCTAGAACCACTAGAGAGCGTGGTCCTGCTGACAACTTGAATTCAGACTTCAAGCCTTCAGAACTGTGGGACAACACATTTCTGTCCTCACAAACCACCCTAAGAAACGAATGCAAGTACTTAGGGGGCCAGAAGAGGATTAGTGGTTGTTGTTGTTGTTGTTAAGTGCTGTTGAGTCGGTTCTGACCCACAGCCATCCTGTATAGGGTTTCCGAGGAGCAGCTGGTGAGCTTGAACTGCCGACCTTTCAGTTCAAACAGCTATGCAGTCTGGCGCATTAACCCACAGCACCACACCAGGACTCCAGGATCAGTGGTTGTTGTTTTTATGTGCCATGGAGTCGGTTCCGACTCATAGCGATCCTGTACAGGGTTTCCGAGACTGTAAATCTTTAC